AATGCAAAAACAATTTTGCAACTTGGATGCGTTGTCATCGTAATCTCTACCGATTTGCTATTCGCGCTCTGCGAATGTGGACAATATAAGTGTTTCGCAGTCCCGGTGCATGGGATAAGTACCATGTTGGTATTAGAGCAGATTTCTTGTTTGGCAGCAATCTTACCAAAGGACGTGCAACCAGTTTTCTGTTTGTGAAGATGTGTCCAACCAGTTAACCGGAGGCAACGCCACCAAGACTCCTATACGATAGCACAGATACCCACTAATCTTTTAAAAATGGTGGAAAGTTGTAAGGCTATTCAGTTTGATGGCATGTAAAACATTCTTTAACACTGATTTCACCTTGACCTATCAGTTCAACGTGGCAATATGTCTATGCAGTGAGCGCTAGACTTGTTTGTGTCGATAATTTCAATCCGCTTTATGAGCGGAATGGCTTGAGCATATTGACATCTAATGATTTCCGTAGTTGTAGGCGGACATATAGATCATCATTTTGTGCACCAACATCACCTAAGTTGTGAGTTTCTGTTGCAGACATACCTAACTCCCGGTTGGTCCTAAAGACAGAAAGAGTGCCATCGCTTCCCCTGCCTCTCAATATCAGCAGGCTTCTGCTGGCACGCCAGACACTGCATTCGAAACTGCATCGCCGCATTCGAAATTTCGAAATTTCCTTCGACAGGACTTGGCTTGCGGCCGCGATCGCCAGCATGGTCACTTCACTCTGGACACGGGTGAAAAAACGCGTTTTCTGTTACCGACAAAATTTGGAGCCATCTAAATTGTCACCTGAAGCCAAATCTTTCAGAAAACGTTGCAATATAGCCATAAATGCAATAAATAATAAAAACAAAGACAAATGTTACACAATGTGGCACAACCATCACATATGTTCGTTTCAGGAGCTTGCACCAAAGTGCGGTTGTTGGCCATCAAACGCTGAACAATGGTTGAGACTTAACTAACAAATTATCAAAGACATACTTCATATAACCAGCCTATAGGCGTGTAGTTTCCTTTTCAGTGGGAGAGGATTGCGCCTCCTAACCAGGCAAGAAGTTTTCATTTTACGTTATATTCTTTAACCATTATTTTTCACTATCACAATCGTTATGGTTCAGCCCTCCCCTTCAATTTTTGTGGGGGAGAAACTATACCCTGCTCCCAAATGTGAAAGAAAGTGCGTCAAATCTATGGAGAAAACTGATCTAAATGTTTTTCAAAGGCAGGCTCAGACATTTTTTCCTGCCTCCCCTCTGCAACCCTCATCACAACGTATTTCTCAAAACTGCATCCCCGTAACCCGTAGCCCATCCCCGTTTTGTAACCCCGTAGCCCCACCTTCACCGATAGCATGGTTCTCCAAACACTTGACGACAACGCCACTTTTGATTTTGTGACATCATCGCACCATCAGCTTGAAGCGTCGGCGACCTCCGCGTTATTTGCATAATCATTGCCAGTGTAGAACTCGTACTTCCTAACATAATTCCAGCTGTTTAGAGCAAAAACCATGCAAGATTGATATCAACAGACGCAAACGACATTTTTTTAACACCTCTATCACCTTTATTTAGCTTTGCAAGCAATATTGTGACAATAAAAAGCGTTTTATCCCACGTCTTTCCACCGATCAGTACGCTAAGTATGAGGTGCAGCGGGCAATGTGAGAGGCCGACACCAGCAATGCTCGGCCTCTTCACCTCAAAGCCGCTGTTCCCCCAAACAGCAGGAAGCCCTGGATGAATCCTTGACATGTGTCGCACCAACGAACTCCGTATACCTCTAAAGCTACAGCTCAGGTATCCACGAACACTAATCCTCCTAGATCGGCAGGTCTTTTTAACTCTATTGTATCCTAAAAAAACTGACGATTAGCTACATTCTTCTAACCACTCAGCTTCTCACGACATGAACACAACCAACAGCAACCTACAGTATTGCACTAAACTCAATGCATTACCGCGTGGCGAGCACTGGAGGCCATCTGTCTCACATGGCACGACGCTTTGAAACGCTGCGTGGCACACTGATCACGTTCCTCGCAAGATGCTGTGGCCAGTCACGATTCTTACGACTGGTGGTAGGTCTAGTTACTTGTTATGTTATACCCTTTAGTCTTTGAAGTCAATCTTGCGTAAAGATCTATGAAAAGCACTAATCTGAAGGACATTGGAAAACAGTGTGTCACCTCTGATCTGTGACATTAGCACTGATCCAGTATAGTTTAAAATATTTTAGTCATCTCATAAAACTATCTGATTAAAGCTACTACGTTTGGCAGCATTTGTGGCTCAACTTACTCATGTAGCAACGCGTCAACGTTTCAAGATATGCTCTATGCATGTTCATGTTGCAAGCGTTAACAACAGCAGACCAATACTAGCCTTGAGTTTCGTCTAGCTGGGATTGTCTGTGGTAATGTGGTGTGGTCTGTTAAATTTTTTCATTTTCAAATTTGTTTCAAATTCTGGTACCAACTGGCTCGCAAAAGTGTCAGTTTCACCGATCATATCCGGTATATCAGAACCTTTTTACCACTGCATGGGCACTCCTCACCTAGCACAGTCACTCAGCCCTGGTTACTCCCCAATGACTCTACCAGCATGGCCACTGCGCCCTGGACACTCCTCGCTGACGCGGTGAACACCGCCACCCACCTTCGGTGACCGGCGAGTAAATGTTGAGGTAGAGGCAGTCCTCGCTCTGGTTGCGCAGGTGAGCGGCCAGACGACGCAGCTGCGCGAGCCGAGCACGAGACATGCCGGCGAGCGCCGCCGCCTCATCCCAGGCCCGCACCGGCGGCCGCTGCGGGCAGACGGGCGGCAGCAGCACGGCGTCGCGCACGCCCTGCCACGGCGCCGGCGTCTGCGGCGGCATGAAGCGCTTCTCATGGCCCAGAGGCGGCTGGGCGTACGGCACGCCGAGGAACTGCTCCACGGGCGGCAGCCGGCCGTCCGGCAGCGTGACGGTGCGACCGCGCAGCAGGCCGCAACTGGTCTCCACCAGCGGCGCGCCCAGCGCCGGCGCGGCCAGCAGCAGCAGCAGCAACAGCGACGGCGGCGGCGGCAGCAGCAGCGGCGGCAGCAGCGGCAGCATGGCCGCCTCACATGGCCGACGGCCGGCGGCGCCGGCGGTGGCACGCTGGCGTCACGCTCCTCCCCGTCCGCGCCGGCTCCGCTTTCAACGAAAATAAATCATGGCGGCTCGCGGCCAGCACCTCCGGGACAGCGACTGCGGTGGACGCGGAGCGCGCGCGGCCGTCGGACTCGCGGCAGCGGCTGGGCGGGCGCGGCGCAGCGGCGAGACACACGCAGCGACGCCGCTGCGGCCTCCGGCGAAACACGGCCGCACGTGGCAGAGACTGGAGGCGGCGGCGCGCCGCGGCCGGCCGCCGCTAAAATTAGCCCGCACTTTGGCAGGCCATGTGTGCGCTGGGCGGCCGCCGACCGCAGGTAGCTGGGGACGCTCAGAGGAGGCCAGGAGTCGGGCAGGGGCGCGTCCAGCTGCGCAGTGCTGGGATGACGGGCGGCCAGGGTGCGGAGGCGTTCGGTGAGGCTCCGGGAGGTCTCACCGGGTGGCCGGCGGCGCCGCCAAGCCGCTTGTGCGCTGAGATGCCGGCCGGTACGGGGGGACAGGGCGCTGTTGTGGGGTGGCGCGCACAGCCGCCTCTGAGGCGTCGCTCCGTAAATATAGCGACAGAAGATGCCCTACCGATGGCAGATTCCCCACATGCCAAATTATCGGGCAGCTCCTACGGCCCCCCGTCGGAGGTATTTGTTTGGAACAGCAGCAATGCTTCCGCAATTGTGACGAATGGGCATCAGGAAGGCATCGCTGTGTGATTGATCTGGGTAAACTGTGGACTTGGTGCCGTGATGGAACACCGCGACAGCGGCGTGCCCTTCCCTAAGCGCCATTTACGCAGACATTGGGCGCAAGGGAAATACTTCACCGATTGGGCGATGTCATAGGTACCCGCATGCAATGAGCTGCGCTACATGTTTGGAAAGCTTCGAGGGTGGGTGGTACGGACAAGACGTTTATGATATGTCGAGCAAAAGCTGACAAAAATATTTCGCTTTTATAAGGCTCTTCAACCACATTCAGGCTCTCTCACACTGCTGCAGCAATTAGCAACACAAAGAGTAGACTTGGGTTAAAGTTTGCATAGTTAAGAACTGGGGTGCTCCGAAAATGCAAACGAGTGGGCAACGGTTGGTTACAGCTGATTAAAAATAGGCGGTGGCTTGCCCGTGAAAGCCTCTGCTGGAGGGGCTATGACATCAGTGGTCAGACTCCCACTAAGACACTTACTACACAATTGGCACGAGGTATCATAAACATGCGATCTTCGTGCCCTTTTCTGCTGTCGGCAGCATCTGAAAGAAATGGTTCCTGGCAGGACACAATGCGGGCGAAAGTCGCGTGTTATTTCAGGCCTATTTTATTTCAGCTCCGCAATCTGACCGCCCATCAGACGACTTCGCTGACCAACGCACGCAGCAGCTATCTCTGACGTCATCAGCACAATTCATTCCGGAGACACTGGCCACGCGGTCGGATGCGAACTGGCGGCCGCTGGCAGCTCTCCAGACAGCATTTGTTATTGGCCGTGCGTGCGTTGGCCGCTGGGCGGCGGCGGTGGCGGCAGCAGCGGCCGTGCGGCGCCGCGGGGCCGCCCGGGCCGGCTGGTGACCCGGCGGGCGGCGGCGGTGGCGGCAGCGGCGGCCGTGCGGCGCCGCGGGGCCGCACGGGCCGGCTGGTGACCCGGCGGGCCGGCGCGCAGCTGCCGCCACTGAGCCGGATTATGGCACGCTTCCGGCAGCCAAGTGGGCCGACGCTGCGCTTTGGTGTCGTCCGGGTGGGAGGGGATGTGCATAGGTGGCCGGGGGCAGTTTGCCGGGCCAAGGGAGAGCAGCGGCGAGAATGCCGTTTGTTGGGTGAGATCCAGGGGTTTTGGTGCATGGATGATCGGACGTTGTGGTGAAATTCGTGGAGGTCGCTCCGGTGGAGGATTTGATGACGCTCTTGGAGTGATCTTGTGGCGCTGCAGTTGGCAGTGGTCTGTACGAGCACTTCGCGTGGACTGTAGGACGGTTATAACACAGTTTGGTGCATGGTCCATAGTGGGCTTGCTTCATCATGGGCGGGAACACATCAGAAACGAAGCCTGTTCCTCAGCCAATGGAGGGTCGGTCTAAACTGATGCCCTTGAGGCAGGCAGATTAGCTGACGCCCAAACCGGTCACGGATCAACACCCCCGTCCCCGTCAGGTGGCCATACACGCCCTCGGTCGTTCCTGCCAGGTGGCCATACACGCCCTCGGTCGTCCCGTCAGGTGGCCATACACGCCCTCGGTCGTTCCCGTCAGGTGGCCATACACGCCCTCGGTCGTTCCCGTCAGGTGGCAAAAGTGGTTGAGGTCGGACAAGTGCCAGCCGAAATAAGTTTGGAACAAGATGAATTCGAGCCAATTGAACAAGTTTGGCTCCCTGGTCATTACTTAACTGTTCCATGTCATTGAGAAACTGACGCTGTTCCCAAGACATTTGCATAGATTAAGCTTCAATTTTGAAATAAAATGTATCAGATGAAGTGCTTGATGTCTAGAGTATCTTCAATTCAAATATATTACGTTTGTGCGAACACCCGGCATTATCAGCTTTACTCGGATGCGATTGGCAATTGCATGTGTAAAAATCTGCTAATAAATGTCATGGATATGTCATAGCTCTGAACTGATCGGTTCACGTGCACTACTGGAATATCAAGGATTACCAACAATTAATATGGTGAAATAGCGATACTGATAAATATATTCGAGAACATTCACTTAATATCTTGATCAGTCTCAGTAACTGAGAGCAGTGGCGCAGCCAAAGGAGAGGGAAGGGGGTGGTGGGGATGGGGGGGGTGGGGAGGAACCTCATGAGACGCCTGCCTTGAACGACATATATATATATATATATATATATATATATATAATATATACCACAGTATATATATATATACCATAGATAATATATATATATAATATATATATATATATATATACGTATATATAACGGAACATAACGACACAACATAACACAACATAATGACATAACATATGTGACATAATTTTACCATCTGGTGATGAGCAAAACTGATTTTAGCTTTAAATCTCATAGCCTGCAATAGGCGATGACATGTCAAGTCCATCAGTCACAATGTAGTGACAGCAGATTGCCGATTTAATATGCGCCGTGAACAGCTGGGACTATTGTTGGGCCCGGGGCAGACCAGCAGCAATAGGTCATCGATAAGTCAGTACTGCATTTATTATTCATCCGTCGCAGGTATGTTTAGCGATCTGTTGGGTCCGTTAGCCTGTTCGCAGTGCATAAGAACTGTCAGTGGCACTGGGACTCGCTCGCAAAAAGGCCCGCCTTCGCAAATCATAGGAGCCCTCCCATGACGATGGGAGGGGTGACGACGACGACGACGACATGACGACTGGTCGCTGGTGCAATCATCGCTGGCCTCCGCACTGTTCGGGCCAAAGTAACTTACGCTGATGACCAATTGGCTTTCTTATGTTTTAATCGTGCACAATAGCGTACAAACAGAAGGTAAGATTTAACGCACTGCTACTTTCCTTCACCGAATATGTAAACATACAGAGCACATGCATTTCGAATGTGTGTAACACCTATTTTCACAATGCATGCTCTTTCTTCGTGTGCTATACGACAAGACTTTGGGAATAAGCGATGACGACAATGATGGCGTCTAAGAGCGCGGCAACGCAGCATCTTCGAACGATGTAAGCTATTCGTTTTATAAAGTCGGTGGACCGCAACTGAAGAACGTCCCTTTAATAACCCCGGTGGAAAAGCAATGATACTTGCCAACAGAGAGCACAGAAAGCCGCCCCGTGAGGCACTGCGAGTGGGGCTAGCCACTCCGTGAAAGGAACCGATGTGGTGGTCAGGAGGGTCGATGAGCAACCATCGAGTGCATGGTCACCGACTGGTGACGTGCTGCGCTGCGCCACCATCGTGCTCTGTCTGGCGTATCTGGTCGCTTACACTTATGAAAATGCAAACGACAGATATTCAACGCGTTTTACTTCAATGCCGAATGCACGCTCGCTGGTGCCTTGCGATCAAGTGCGATTTACGACGACAAAACTGGTGCCGAGTCACCAACGCGCGGAACGCGGGGCAGGATCGAAGCATGACATTTTTCCAGGATGAGTCCTATAAATATCGGTCGCCAGCGCATGACGGCGTCTTCGCCGTAAGCCTGCTGACGTGGCCGCCTCTGCCGGGCTCGGCTCCGGTGCTCTGCGGGGGGCGGGTGGGACCGCGCCAGTCGGCAGCTCCGATGACGCCAGTCCGGCCGGAAGCGGGCTCCGCCGGCCGACGGAGCGGCCGCCGCGCACCTCGCGGGCGGCGGCGTCGGCGGCGGCGGCGCACCTCGCGGGCGGCGGCGGCGGCGGCGGCGGCTGACGCGCGCCGTTTAATCGCCGCCATCTGAGCGCCGGTCACTCCGTCATCAGTCAATACTATCGGTGACGGCCGCCCGACATTCCCTGGCAGCGGACGTCGGCACACGACGCCCCATTAATAGCCTATCTGCATGACGCCGGCGGCCGCCGCCCACCTGCCCGGACAGCGGGCGCCGGACGCCGCCCGCCCGCTGCCGACCCGGCCACGTGCGGACGTGCTGGGCCGCCCGGCGCCGCCGACAAATTGACGCCGACGGCACGGGGTGAGCGGGGCGCACGTGCCGGCGCCGGCCGCCGTGACCGGCTCTGGCGCCGGCCGGACCGCATGAGTCGCGCGCCGCAGCGACGAAACGCCCCGCGTTGACTCGACCGGCTGGGCGCGCCCCCCGTGACGTCATTCGGGAGGCGTGTGGCCCCGCGGACAAATTGCGAGGAGGTGTTGTGGGATAAACAAACACTTAGCTGGTGTGGGACAGGTATTTTTCCACGTCGAGGCTTTCAGTGGGAGGGCGCGCGGTGGAAAGTGTCCGCGATTCCCGACACGACCCGGGCAGACGCCAGCAGCAGGCTTTCTTTCCCCACATAGAATGCGAAGACTTCTGGCGACAAGCGCCTGGGTGCAGGCTCGATACGATTCCTCAGGCGCCTTCCGAGCTTCTACGACAACGTAAAATGTCAAACAGACGGAACAGCAAATTAGTTTGCCCATGTCGCAGTGGCGGTCCGCTAAAAAGTGTCCCTGTGCCTTATTACTGCCATTGGGGTATGTCGGTGTAGCGTACATAGGCAGTTAGCAATAATTGGTCATTAAAAGCTGCGTGAACATGGACGCTTTATTAATAACAAATCGATTTCTAGCATGGTGAGTCGTGCGGAAGTGATGTTTGCTTGACATAATGGGGACTTTGCCTCTTGGTGGCATTGGATATCCATCTACGACCGCATAAACATGGGTCCAAAAAGCATTGCTGGCGGCCATTTTGCTCAACCACCTTCTGCATACCGTTGACGAAACGTGCCGCAAAGCTTATTACATTGGAAAGCACATGCGTCGCAATCTGACCTAAATGTTTTCCAAATCCATAATTTCGTTTGCTAAAACGTGACCTCATTGGCGCCAAAATGTCAAGGACATGCTTAAAGGCTCCAGCACGCCCATCTTGGGCATAAGAAACATGTCAACTAGAGTCAACAGACAGGACATGTTTTCTGTCGTGTAACCGGTTTCTTTTTGTTCATTTGTTCTACGCGACTTGTTCATGCCACTGCCAGCGGGCGCCACTCCATGAGCTGTTGCCCCGTTCAGGCGCGGGGCGGCACCAGCGACACCGCCAGTGCACTGCTCACATCAGCGGTCAAGGTGCCATGCTATGTGTATATTAATGCGGTTAGTTCTCTATGACGACGATAAAAAATGGCTCTTTTGAGCGCATTTGATTACATTTTCGCGTCGGTAAACAAGAGTAAGCAATAGCG